AGAAGCCAAGGAACTCCCTGCGCCATATTTTGTGTGCGTCGTTTTTTTTCACGCCGCATCTTCTTGCACCCGCCGCTGGTGTTGGTGTTTTTATTTTCCCCCGCAATGACCGCGGCAATAACACAACCGATTGAACGGCGGCGAAGCCGGGGCGGGCGGAAAGGGGCGCGGGACCGCGCCGCTGGAATGCAGGTGCTCTTTGTGTGTGTTTTGGGTTCGCAATGAGGTTTTTAAAAAAGGGAGGCAGAGTAGTTTAAGATGAGAAGACGACCTCGAGGCTGATGTTTTTCCGCCCCGTCCCGTCCCCACAGCAGCGCGCCTGTGCATCCCAAGCCGCGGCGGAGGAAGTGTGGCGCGACGGGGGGGAGGCGAGGAGCACAGCAACGGGGGGAAACCACAACAATTTTGCCGTTTGGAGCTGTCCACGCCCCACCGTCGCGGCATCGCCTGTCCGCGGGTGCGCCGGCAGCGGGCGTGGCAACGCGCGTATGCGCCTTTTCACTGCGTGAATGGCGGAATGTGTCTGAGAGTCGCTCGCCTCTTTTTTCTTCTTTTTCTTTCTTCTCTTCATCTTTGCCGTGCATTTCACGCGTTGTGCTTGTGCCGTTGCGTGCGGCTCAACGTCCCGGCGAAAAAGGAAAAGCAACTTTAATTCACTCTAGCTGGAGTAAGCCACCCAAGCAACAACACCAGTGTTATTTGGACTCCGTTGTTACCTATGCTTCGCCGTTCCTTCTTCCGCATGGCTGGCCTGGACAAGGTTATGCCGTTGGGGAAGGCCCTTGCTGACGTCAAGAATGGGGCCTCACTCGCCGTTGGCGGCTTTGGAACGTGCGGCATGCCGCACGCACTTGCAACGGAGCTGAAGCGCAGTGGTGTCCGGGACCTCTGCATCTACAGCGATGGTGCCGGTATCGATGGCTACGGTATTGGTTTGTTGTTTGAGGATAAACAAATTAACAAGATAATCGTAAGCTACGTCGGTAACAACAAGATTTTCGCACAGTCGTACCTGAAAGGCGATGTGGAGCTAGAGTTTTCCCCACAAGGCACCCTTGCCGAGAGGATGCGTGCAGGTGGTGCTGGCATTCCCGCTTTTTACACCGCCACTGGTTTTGGTACAGTGGCGCAGACTGGTGGTCAGATCACGAAGTACAACCCGGATGGCTCCGTCGCCTGCGAGTCTGCTCCGAAGGAGACGCGCTTTATAGACGGCCGCTGGTACGTCATGGAGCGCGCCATCCGCACCGACTTCTCCCTTGTGAAGGCGTGGAAGGCGGACAGGAGTGGCAACCTTGTGTTCCGTGGGACCTCTCGCAATTTCAACGTCCCAGCCGCTCAGTGCGGCCGCACCGTAATTGTGGAAGCAGAGAACCTCGTGGAAAATGGCGAGTTGGACCCGCACGAGGTGCACCTGCCGGGCGTTTACGTGGACCGCGTTGTGGTGCCTGAGCGGTACAATACACTGATTGAGAAGCGCACGATCTCCCGTCCCCACTCCACTGAGAAGCGAGCGGCAAAATCGAAGGAGGAGGAGGCCCGCGAACGCATTGCACGCCGTGCTGCGCTCGAGTTTGCCGATGGCATGTATGTGAACTTGGGTATTGGCATTCCGACAGATTCCGCCAATTACATTCTTCCGGGTGTGAATGTGGTGCTGCAGTCTGAAAACGGTCTTCTTGGCATGGGCCCCTTCCCCGAGGAGGACAAGGTGGATGGCGATTTGATCAACGCAGGTAAGCAGACCGTCTCGTACCTCCCGGGTGCCTCCCTCTTTGACAGTGCAACCTCCTTTGCAATGATTCGTGGTGGGCACATGAACATCACGATGCTTGGCGCTCTTGAGGTAAGTGCCAACGGAGATCTTGCCAACTTTATGATTCCCGGCAAGCTGGTGAAGGGCCCTGGAGGCGCGATGGATCTTGTTTCGAGCGGAACTCGTGTTGTTGTGACAACGATGCATTGCAACAAGAAGGGTGTTTCTAAGATTGTCGAGCGCTGCAAATTGCCGGTGACTGGCAGGAACTGTGTCAACCGCATCATCACTGAATTCGCCGTCTTCGACGTGGAGAATGGCCAGCTTGTGCTGAAGGAGGTCGCTGAGGGCGTCAGCGTGGAGGAGGTGAAGAAAATGACGGCTGCCGCCTTCCTTGTGAAGGAAGTGAAGACAATGCCGCAGGCGCCCATCCCGCCAGGCATGATGTAATGTCCTGTGTTTTCGTTTCTGCCGCCCCTCGCTGTCAGTCTCGGTGTAATACGTATTGCCGCACCCCGCGGCCTCTCCTCCCCGCTTTCGTTGCCCCCTCCAACCCCTGCACGCCGTGCGCGGCACCTGCCAGGACGCCCTGTGGCGTGTGGCGGGGTGCTTCCTGCGTGCACTGGCGCGGATGGGGGTGGCGCGCGTGTGAGAGAGCGAAAGGGGTGGGTGGGGTGCGTTGGTCGCGTGGCACGTGCACCAGCACGCCTTGAGTTTGGTACGAGGCCGTGGCAGAGACGCGCAGTTACGTACAATAGAAGGAATGCATATAATGATCAAATTCGCGACAAAAAAAAACTGTGGAGGAGTGGATAATGATGTTAACGGGGAATTCAATTAAGAGGCGGGAACACGCGCCTTCCCCCACTCCTCCTATACCCCCGTAACACTTTTTTTCTTGTTTTGAGGTTCTTGTTTTTTACTGTTTGTTCCCGTGCTATTTTCTATTTTCCATTATTTCTATTTTTTTTTTCGACGGCTAAATGTTCCTCGTGCAGCTTTGCCGCGTGTGTGTCACACCTGCGTTCCCGCAGGCAATCACGTTGCCGTCGTTCCTGTTGTGGCCTCCCCCTCTTCCTCTTTGTCTGTGTGTGCGAGTGCGTGTGTTTTATTTTGTCGGTTTTTGGCAGCTGCTGAGCGGGCGGGGGGAAGGGGGCGGGGCAAGTGGCGGCAGCTGCCGTGTGAGGTGGCTTTTTGTCCGCTTGTCCCTCCTCGCAGTGATGTGTTTGTTTTTGTTTTTGGTGCTGGCGCTGTGTGCCTCCCCGCGTCTTTTCCGTGTGGGCCGCGGCCCACCCCCGTGGAGAGGCGCACCCTTCCCGGCACCCCGCGGCAGCAGCGGGCAAAACGACGCGCAATTGTGTGGGGCGGAGCGAGAAAAGGGGGAGCTGAAGTGCGGAGGGAAGTGTACGGCGGGGGGAGGCCAAGTTGGGGCGTGGCGGGGGTAATCCCCCGTGCGTGCGTGCGCGCGCCTCATGTATCCAAGCGACAACGGCGCACGCGCCCCGCGGCGTGTGGCGCAGGAACAGCAACAGGAAACAAATCACGTGTGTCAAAAGGGCGACGCTTTGCGTGTGTTATTGAGTTGCCAAGGAATGCCGGAAAGGAAGCAGATTTTTACGCGTGGCCCCCGCCAAGCACACCTCACCGAATAACCTCGTGGGCGGCTTGGAAGGGGGCCAGGCGGTGATAAATAAGGAGCCTGGAAGCAAAAGGATCGAACCACACTAACTCTGTAAAAGCGAGAGAAAAAGCAGCTAAGAATGCCAAAAATTGTGCAAAAGTAAATAATTGTTTTCGTCGGTGACCCCTCGGCCGCACCGCCACTCTGCGTGCTCGCAGTGGCTGGACAGGTTGGCAGGGTGCGGGAGGCAGGTGGAGGAAAAGAAGCGTAAATGGAAGCTGCGGAGGGGATACTCCCCCGGCATGTTTTGTTTTGTCTTTTGTGTGGGTGCCCGTTTATCATTTAACGGTGGTGGTGCTGGGGGCTACGAAAGTAAACGGTAATGATCCCACTCACGAGTGGCTGCCGCCGCCGCCGCCGCCGCCGCCGCCGCCAAGACTGCCCAGTCACCGCCAGCGCAGCAGGGGAAGGCCACTGCCGTGTCGAGGGAGGGAGAGGTGCGCCCACTGCCGGAGTAGAAGTGCCACGCGCAAGTGTTTCCTAGTGAGGGAGCAGCGGAAGAGGATGGCTACTCGGAAGGCACGCCGGCTCGTGGGCAAGACGGGGCAGGCCCGCGAGAGGAAAAAGCTCCCCACGGCAGGCATGAGGCTGGCTTGCGCGGGTGCGGTGGGGCGAATTCATTGGTGCTGTTACGCAGAAGCCAAGGAACTCCCTGCGCCATATTTTGTGTGCGTCGTTTTTTTTTTCACGCCGCATCTTCTTGCACCCGCCGCTGGTGTTGGTGTTTTTATTTTCCCCCGCAATGACCGCGGCAATAACACAACCGATTGAACGGCGGCGAAGCCGGGGCGGGCGGAAAGGGGCGCGGGACCGCGCCGCTGGAATGCAGGTGCTCTTTGTGTGTGTTTTGGGTTCGCAATGAGGTTTTTAAAAAAGGGAGGCAGAGTAGTTTAAGATGAGAAGACGACCTCGAGGCTGATGTTTTTCCGCCCCGTCCCGTCCCCACAGCAGCGCGCCTGTGCATCCCAAGCCGCGGCGGAGGAAGTGTGGCGCGACGGGGGGGAGGCGAGGAGCACAGCAACGGGGGGAAACCACAACAA